GAGTAATCCTATAAACCAGTAAGTATTTACTCATGAATTCATTTTTAGATTTTCGTAGATATCCACTGAGTAAAATTCATCTCTAATGTTCTTCGATGTGTTATCCAATCTTTTCTTTATTTCCTGTTTCACAATTAAGTTTTCTTCTGAAGTCAATGCCCTGGGATCATTAATGGTAGTGTCATCTTGAAATTTTCACTGAATAGTGAATGCTCTTGATGATTTTACTCGTTGATAAAATTCATCTAAATTGTCCAATTTGTAATCAATTTTGGCTCTTGAGGATTCATAAAAGAACTTTGTCTTTTGGTTATTTTCATCCTTATATTCGATGAAGTTTACTTTATCATATTATTCTTCAAATGCATAATTGTATGATTGTTTGTAATTTATAATTTCGGTTTTAGTTTTATTTTTGTTGTTATTAATATTGGTAGTTATTTTAATTATATTATTATTGTTTGATTTTTGACTGGATTCATTTTTAGTATCATTGATGAGGTGTCTGATTTCTTTGATCTCACTCATCAATTCTCTGGATTTTTACTGGTTTATAGGATTACTTTCAATCATGTTGGTCATTTAATTGTTCAATAACTGGATACTTTCTTTGTGTTGATACATAGTTACTTGTTATATTAATGTACATACCACTCTTTTATACTTCAAGATGCTTTGAAGAATTTTTGGTTCGGACAGACACTCGTGAAACGTAATAATATGCGTTTATTATAAAAGATGCACGTGACCGATGTCACCAATAAGTAAGTAAATAACAGGTACCTTGGTATACCGTAATATACCATAATTTTAAAATTATAGTCACTAACAATCTTTATAAATATCAATGATAATAACACATCTTATTGGACATATCTCCGATGCAATCATCCATGTTAAGTTATGTCGAAACAATATACATAAAATTAATCATATCAACAAATACTGAAATTGGTTGCAAACTCATGAGAACTGAAACTTATTTAAACAGGCCAATTAAGTTAAGGCTCGGATGAGGTAAAATTTATAAGAATGTAGAGCTTAGATATATAGATAATAGAAAAAAGTAAGCCTGTTTATAAATAAATTAAGAAGGTTCACACCAGGATCTATATAGTTACTATATAACAGTTTTTGAGATTTTTACATTGGAAAAATGAACAAACTATTGGTCATCCTTACATATTTGCTGTTGGAAATTGGACCAGCTATATGTGAAGACTCAGGCGATGAAAGTCAGTCACAAGAGAAATTACAAACATTTACTGGCGCAGGATTCCAGATTAAACAAATGGTTAAAGCGTCCATATGGGGGGTCATGTCATATCTGGCCTTTAGCGTAGCTAGCAACTTTGCAATGGCATGTGGTTGGTGTGCTAAATTAGAACCTCGTAGAAGAGAAGCTTGCGAGTCAGCAGTGAGGAATATTGGAAAGCTTGCAGGTATCGTTACGTTTATGGTTGTTGATAATAATAACGACACATTGGGTAAACGTGATACCTCGTACAACCAGACGGAGTGGCTTACCAATGGAAGAATATTGTTGGTGACAGCGACAGTGACGACTATTACGATATCGCTAATCTGGAGACACACTAAGGCTCCAAAGAAGGCGGGCACAGTAGCGGTAGAGTAGAAGTGATCAGTGCAACTGCAAGTCAATACTCATAGAATATTGCAAAAACAAAAGGAATTGGGACTGGATGATGTCACGGCGCTATTATGTTGCTAATAATCACCAAGAAAATGTATAATGGTACCACTGTAGCACCAGGGCTTAAAGGTATGACTAGATCCTAGATCTGGGTAGCACGAACTGATTGACAATAAATGCATGAATTATTAATAATATTAAAAAAGAAAAAGAAAAAGAGAGAAAGAATAAGCAGCAACAAATAAGATTCCAAATCAGAGTTAACAAATGGAAAACGATACCCGATTTTATAGCAAAGTTTTCCATAGACTAAAATACCCTTATTTTCGAAAAAAATATTCAACTATATCAACAACCTCGACTCTACATGCTCCGAACAAGAATCAAAACAGTATTGAAGGATTCATACAATCCTCCAATACATGAAGGACACAGTAAAATAGATAATACTTTCCTCAAAGTAGCCACATTCTCTTGCCGGCCTTGGTCAATTCCAAGATATCAAGAAACATGTTCAAACTTGAACCATTTGTCAAAGGGTTTAAAAAAGTTGACAGACCTACTAATGAACCTTTACAAAAACTTTCTTCCTCGATAGAACTTTGGGACAAAATAGGTATCGATTCTGTCACTGAAAACAAAGTCGACAATAATATGATTCTAACCGCAATTGATCACCTAACTCGTGGGAGACATTTTATTGCAATGTCAGCCAATACGACAGGAAACAGTTGTTTAGCTCTGCTAATGAATCAAGTTTTCCAGTACTACAGCCTTCCCTCAAACATAATCAGGGACTGCTATGTTTGATTCAATAATGAATTATACAAAGATGGCATGTATCGACTCGACATTACACCAAGTAATTTCAGCTCGAACCATCCTCAAACAAACAGTATAAACCAAAGACTTGACGGAAATATCAAGGACCTGTTACTACGATACTGCGCTTCCAACCGTATCACTTGGGATCAATAATTACTTATTCTCTAATTCACATATAATGCGACACCATCATTTATAACCGAGGGGAGAGTCTCTGACAGATCAGATGAAGCCAAAGAATTGGCGATAAAACAAAAGGTTTTCTTACTAAGGACAAGAAGTAGAAGTAGAAGTAGAAGCTAACAGCAAAAATGATAATCGACCACTAGATTACGAAGTTGGCGAATTCGTTTTACTTCACAGAGAAGCATACTATACAGGAGGGAAATATTGGAAAGTAAGAACCTTATATGAAGAACAATTTAAGACAGTAAAGAAGATAAATGAAGGGGCATTCGGATTAGCACAAAGGATAAGAGAAATAAATGCTATCATTGGATATAACGAAAAGAACCAATAATTCTACGCTACCTTCAACGATGCAGACCATACATTCCATATAAAGGTGCCAGTATTGAAAATTCACAAGAACGGAAACCTATATGAGAAAGCCAATTAAGTTAAGAATTAGATACGATAAGATGCGTACAAATGTAGAATTTAGATGTATAGATAATAAAAAGAAGTAAGCTTGTTTAAATATGAAGTAATAAGGATCACACCAGGCTTTATACAGTTACTATATAACAGTTTGGATGAAAATCGACAAGCAGGGGTCTGAAGATAGATTAAACACAATCTTTAAATCATTTTCAGTCCATACAACTTGACAATCAAATTATACTGAATATAACTCATCAGTCAATACAATACTTCCCACACAAGAATTTATACTTCTGGATAATTGCCAGTGTCAGTTAAAATTTCATTAGATTCTTATGGGAATACATGATTACAACAAAATTAGAGGAAGATATACACGGCTAAAAATGATCCAATAGCAGTATGTATATTGTTCATCTGTTGTAGTTGTTGTAAGTCTCAGCATTGAGCATTGAATTGGCTGTATTTTTTAACCTTTCTTGCACGGTAATCTTGATGTAGTCATGTGATCTAATTACAAGTTCAAATCAAGACACAATATGCCGGATTAGGAAATAGGTAAACAAGTAGAAAAAAGTGAGATGGACAACATCTTATATAGTAAAAATATTAGAATACTCAAAGACTTGGCCGCTTGAAAGTGAGTTAAGTTATTGCAAATCAATCATCATTCGATATTAAGATCAGTTTTAATCGTGACTAGGATTCCTTTTTGATACATATATTAAATATAAAATCGAAATTAAGAAATTAATGAGATCAATTCGATATTCCAGTAATAGAAAAAAAATCTATTCAAGAGACAATTATACTGATCTTGGGAATTCAAACAACGCATCAATGACTGTTGTGGTGAGCACACCAACTATCAAGGGTGAAGATACCTTGTATGCTAATTCAGATTGCTTAAGGTTAACTCCTGTGAATTTAAATTGTCTAACTTCTCCAATAAGAAGTACAAGTAAAAATAATGATGAAACTGTTACTTCAAATACCATATACACTGAAAATTTCAATTTGATATCTAGACAGTTGGAGAAACTGCTAGAAGATTTAAATGTTATATACAATAGGATTGGATACTCAAATTCTGAGATACTCAATAAAGAAAGATTGATCTTCAGTACCTTATCTGATTCCATTACAGAATATTTTGAACAAGCTGATAAAGATATGAATGAACTTATAACAGGGAATCACATAGAACAAGAAATGTTGAACAAGATTTTAGATATCATTAACGATTCTAATGGGACTCAAACTATACCAGATCTATACATTAGGAATTCGATATTAATACAACAAAGTAAAACTGTCCCTTTATCTCCTAAAAAAGAAGCATCTCTGTTGAGTAAGAGAAAGGTTTTAAAGTCAGCAAGAAGATATATTTTCAACTCCTATATACCCAAACTTTTGAAATTTTTACAGAAAGCAATTGTATTACAGAAATTAATGTCTTCAATAAATGATAACAGAGAAAAAGATTTTATTCCCCAAGGTGCTTATGATATTATATCTAATATTCCATCACTGGATTTGATGAAAAATTTACTAGAAAAAATTAATGAATCAAAAGACAACTTTGAGATGATATCAACTCTGATTCAAGATAATAATAAATTGTTACTAGATGATGAATGTTTCCATGATATATCAAAAAAAATGTTAGATAATATTTCAGAGACAACGGAAATTTTTGAAAAAGAATACGATAACAGATTGACATTAATATGTTCAATTGCCAAAAAAATATCGAAACTAATAACTGATTTGAAAATCGACGAGAATACTCTTGATCTTGAGACAGCTAATAACATAAGAATTTATGCAGAATACAAATTAACTAATACTGAAGATAGAATACTGGTACGAACAAGTATTATAAAGAAATTAGAAAAGATACTGCAGAATTATGAATTGATATATAATGAAAGACAGGAACAAAGAAATGAGCTATTGTTAAAATGTCAGTCCCTATGGATCAAGCTCAAAGTTCCTGACCATCAAATAAACGAATTTATTGAAAATAATCAAGGACTTTCTGTACAAGTTATAAACTCCTATCAGAATGAACTAAGTAGACTGGAAAGCATGAAAAAGAAATTGATTAAGACATTGATCGTAGATTCATGGACAAAAATAGAAGAATTATGGTCGACTTTACAGTATACTGATGAAGAAAAGTCTAGTTTTGTAACGAAATTCGCCAATCTTAAACAAAATGCAACAACATTAAAAGATGATGAAGAATTGTTGGATGTATGTGAAAATGAATCAAAAATTCTTGAAAAAAAATTGGCAGTATACAAACCAGTCTTAGAATTATATGAAGAATTTAAATCATTACAGGATGATAACATAGCATTGGAAAAAAGTTCAAAGGATTCTTCAAGGTTGTTATCAAGAAATTCTCACAAAATATTATTACAGGAGGAAAAGACAAGAAAAAGGATTACAAGACACTTCCCTAGAGTAATTGAAGAATTAAAAATTAAATTAGATGAGATGGAAGAGTTATTTGGTAAACCATTTATGGTGCAAGGGAAAAAGCTATATACAATCGTGCTTCAACAAGAAGAAGAATTGATAAGTAAATACCCAAGGATTCGTCTAAATACAAGTACGAGGAAGAAACCAAGTCCATCAAGGAAATCTTCGAGAGATCTAGCTGAGAATAAACAACCGATAAGTTTAAAAGTGGAAAAGCGTAAAAGCCCAAGTATACAAGGTTCTAATATAAACACAACAATTTCGGCTGAATATGGCATGGTACATAAAACTCCAATTCGTGCTGAGTTAAGTTCGACAATAGATACTTCAACAATCTTATCAAAATTAGATGATAGTCATAATTATAACAGGTACATGAAAACTACAAGATTGATTAGTCCACCAAAACAAATGACACGTCTTTTACAGCCTACCATTATCAGTAAAAAAGAACCATCTAATATATTAGAAGATAACGAAAATGAAGATAATATAGATACTTATACATCCTCGAAGAAGCCATTAAAGGCTAGAAATGGGTATATTCACCCAACTCGATTATTCCCAATTTCCATTAGTAAATTAAATCAAAAGGGGAGTCAGATTCCAGTATTAATCAAAAATTTAAATGAAAACCCTAATGTGTCTGAAAGGGAAGGTGAAAAGGAAAACGTTCAACACAATTTGCTAGATACAAATGAAAAACAACATTTTATTCGTGGAGGTGCATTGATAAAGAGTAATTATAGTAGTCCATATAGAGAACCTGACAATAGTATTTATAAGATTTCTATGTCACCAGATGGGAAGTGTCAGTTAAATGTCCAAGATGGTGTAGATAGTGGAGTAGACGACACAAGTATAATGGATGAAGATAATGATAAAATATTTATGACATGGAAAAGAGAGCAACTTTCGAAACTTAACGGCATTACTAATTCTAATATTTTACCGGAGGAACATATTAATTGGAGTACTGACGTATTATAATCCTATATGCTGCTTTAAGAGTTACCTATATTAATGAACCACGAAATAATAATAATAATAATAATAATAATATTAATAAACTATTATCTAATAATTTTACAAATATATATAATGATTAGATTGTAATACTAAAACTATACATACTTATTACCAATGCTTAAGTTCCATGCCTTCTGGAGGAGATGTTTCAACTTCCCCCTTAGCGACATCTTCCCAGTTTGTATTTAATGCAGTACCGTTACTTTCTAAATAAGATTTCATCATTGCTCTTTTTGTATCTGGATCAGCACCCTCGTATAGTTTACGGAAGAATGCATCAGCAGTGCCTGAATCTTCATCTTCGTCATCTTCATCGTCATAATCAATTTTTGACCAATCGATGTTTTTCTTTGATGAGTTTGGATACATTAAACTAGAAGTCGGGTTTGAATTGGAATCAGGGAATGATGAGATTGTATTTTCATTTGAATTGATAGTTTTTTCTAATGACTTCCACGAAATATTATTTGATTTTTCTAATATGATTTCGATTTTTTTAGTGAAGAGATTGGATTTAATTGAATTTGAAATTATTGGGTATGATAAATTGATAGAGTATTGAAATTCCGAGGCTCTGTCTGGGATTTTATAGGTAACTTCTAATGTATTATGTCCAGCTATGTAATTAATCTTGATATCATTTTTATCCGTTGGTAAATTTGTAGTAAAAATGGAGATTGTGATATTTTTATTAGTTTGGTACCAATCAATTTTAAAATTTGGTTTTTCCTTAATTAAATTATCTGTATTATTTTTTTCTAAGGATTTAATTTCATCAGGCTCTTCATTGGAATCATCATTTGTTTCACTTGATAAATTTAAGTTTTTCAATTTTTCATTCAATTGTATTTCCCACATAGGTAAAGTTGAATCATTATAATCGTAATTTTTTGATTTCAAAAAGTTTTCATTTGCCAACTTATAATCTTTCAAATTGTAATAATAAATAAAATATCTGAAATAAACTAGACCAATTTTGGATCTATCACCTCTTTCAAGTGCTATTTTTTTTGCATTATCGAGACAACTTTTAGCGATAGCTAAAGTATCGTCGTTTGCCCAGTCTTTTGAAGAAAAGTATAGTTTTTCCAGAGATGCAGCCTTGTATATAAAAGCAGTTAAATTCTGATAATTGCTATCTGACAGTATTTTATCATACAACTGCAATGCCTTCAGATAATTTTTATCATCATATAAAATCTTGTAAGCAGAATCCAAGTCCTTTTCCACTGGCATATTCCCTTGTGGCAAATATAGGAAGAAACTAGAGTGCAGTAGTTAGGATGATACTGATAAGGTAATGATGTGATTATTAATTGGAATCGATGTCAAATATATGTGTGTGTCCATATATAGATGGAGGTAACTGCTGTAGATAGTGTTCGAAATCAATTAATATTACGAATCCCAATGACAAATCATTCTTGACGATGCTGAGGCTACCCAATTCTGCCAGAGAGAGTTTGGTGTTACCCGGCACTGATCATTCACAAAATCGGCAAACTGATTAAAAAGTTGATGACGTCATTGTGTCCCCTTTTCTTATTTATACTTGGTTTCCGTGTTTTTGAATGCTCAAATGAATGGGATGCATAGAACAGAGATATACAGTCCAGAGGGAACACAACCGAACAACACAATCACAATCACACAATCAGAAAGGTGAAGAAGTGCCATTCTCTAGTTTCCGAAAACAGAAATACCCGGATTCGCACTTGGACTACTGTTGCGGCAGCAATGCAATCTGACTATTTGCTTATATTTCATGCCAACGCCTATGCTAATGCATTTGCATCTGCTTTGGCAATGGGTTGTTGGTGGAAGACCATTTTTCAGAGCAAGACCAACTGTCTTTGCGAGCCAAATGCATCACAACCGAGCAGATAACTCCTAGTCTGCTTGTAGTAGCACCACGTCCACCCCTAACTATATAACGTTATACATCAAAAAGAGTCTAGAGTTGCTTGGTTTGCCATCGCAAACTCATTCAAACCAACTCGATGTCCCAGTAGGGTACTAGTGTTGGTGTTGGTGTAGTCTTGTTCAAGAACAGAAAGGGAAATGCACACCGTTGCTGGTCACGGGACTTCTTGCAGCCAGTCAAAAAACCACTGTTACCCTGACGATACTCATGACTTCCGAGTACAGTAGATGTACATGTTTCCCTTCCCTCCCATATTAATAGGACTGATAAGTGCGGGAAAATGCATTACTGTGTCCTAAAAACATCACAACTCAATCAAATCCCTCCACTCCATCTGATGTTACAAGACCTTTTACATTAACTATATACCTTCGTTGCATTACAATGCATTACCCATTCCATCTACGGGCCACACTGGCCATAACTGTACCCAACCCAACCCAACCAAGCCAGCTGGGAATTCCCGATATATATCACATTAGCTTGAAAAGTGACGTATTCCATGACGTACTAATCTGCAACAGTTCCCACTTCTTCTTGAGGTCCTATCGATTCAAGAACCAAGAACCAAGAACTGTTCTCTTGATTGACCGAATGCCTGCATGGGGTCGGAATAAGGACAGGTTAAGGTTTAAATCACATAATGTCCAGTTTCTCATCCCATCATCGATTATTGGATGAATTCATTTCAATGAAACCTGAATAAGCAAGGTTTTATCACAATACAACATCGTATCATCTCTTGTCTTCACTTCATTCCCTCTCTCCCCCCAACTTCCCGTCGTAGCAATAATCAATAACTAGTTGACTAATCTAAAACTAAAACTAAACTAAACAAAAATAATATCTTCAAAGTATTTCTAATCTTGCGTTCATCAAATAATATCTTGCTTCTAGCAAAGTTTGCTTTGTTGTGCTCATTTTTGGAAAGTTATATATTACTATCCCCATAACTCTTTTGTATTAGTTTTAGTTTCTTGCTTTCAAGGTTTTTGGGAAGCTAAACTACAACTGTAACTGCAACTACAGTACTGTTCATCATTATAACTGAAGTTAGAGTTTTAAAGATTACTTTAAGGGTTTAGACGTTTGCACTTTAGAAAACTATTCATATATAAACATATTCAAGACTCTCTAATCCTTTATTTGTCACTCTTCACCATTGTATTGTAGTTTGGGTTTTTGGTTATTTTATTTTTTAAGCTTTACAAATTAAATTACACTACAATAAAGAGAGAGTGTGGTCTATAATTCTAGAACAAAGGAGTTACAACTGTGTTCAGAAAGACAGTACTGGAATATCGAATTTATATAGCAACTCATATTCTCATCCTATTTGAGTTAAGTTTGGTTTAGTTTGAATTACAAAGAAATATAAAGAAAAAAATTTTTGATAAGTTTTTTTTGCTTTTGAAGGGGGGAAGAGACAGTGTCGATATTTCTACCTTTAACTCTTTTTATAAAGGGTATTCATTGGGTTATTCCACTCAATCTCACATATCTCTTCACGTTTGGTCTCATTATAAGATAAAATGACCTTATCAAGTAAAGAATCAATGGAATTGTCTAAAGATGTTCAGCAAACTAAATCGATTATTAATACTAACGCCCAATCAGGTGCTGTGGTAAGTAATTCTCCAGATTTAGGTTTGAAAAGAACTCCTAAAGTTACATTCAATAGTAATAAAATTTTACCAAGTAGTAACGAAAATGATTCGATAACTAATGGTATCGCTATAAATACAACTACCTCTGGCAATATCAAAAAATTACCTTCTGATTTGAACGACCAGTTCTCTCCTGTTGAAAATAATGAAGAGCATCTGCAATTTGTAGTAGATGACATCTTACATAGTCCAACTTCAAGGTCGAGGTCAAATAGCAATTCTCCAAGACCTTCAATCATTGGGGCAAATGGCACTATATTGCCAGGTACTGGCCCAACTGTGTCTATCGATCAGAATTTAGAAAAAGATATAATACCGCTACAAAAGGATCACTCTAATAGCAAGATTGATGAAAATAATCCTTTAGAGTCAATAATGGAAAAGTCTATTGATAATACAACTGTACCTTCAAAAGAAGTAGGGAAAAATGTAGATTCAAGGTTACCACAAGATGATGGAAAATTGCACATATTATTTGGTGCGACTGGTACTTTAGCCATTTGCAAATTAAAGCCAATGATTAAAAAATTAGAAGATATATATGGCAAAGATAATATTAGTATTCAGGTTGTATTAACCGCTGCTGCAACAAAGTTCTTCAGTAAAAAATATTCGAAAAAACATATCTCTCCACTTAAAATGACTAATTCCCATGAATTAACAACATCGGCTGAATCTCAGTTCATTACTCAAAAGTTACAAAAACAGCACTCACAGCAAAGTTTTGATCAAGATTTGCATACCATCTCTCCAGCTACTCCGATAAATACAAGTCAAACAAATTTGGCTGCACAGAGTCCAAGTACAACTAACATACCCATAGCGAATACTATTGCTGACTTGCCTCCACACATACATGTTTGGGTAGATCAAGATGAATGGGATACTTGGAGTCAGAGGACAGATCCGGTGTTGCATATAGAATTACGGAGATGGGCAGATATATTGGTTGTTGCACCATTAAGTGCCAACACTCTAGCTAAAATTGCTTTAGGATTATGTGATAATTTATTAACGAATATTATAAGAGCTTGGAACCCTCATTTCCCTATACTTATAGCACCATCGATGATGAGTTGTACTTATAATTCAGTTCAAACTAAAAAACAATTAAATATACTTAAAGAAGAAATGCCATGGGTTACAGTATTTAAGCCATCTGAAAAAATCATTGCTATTAATGGTGATATTGGGTTAGGTGGTATGGCTGACTGGAATGAAATTGTTGATAAAATTGTAATGAAACTAGGTGGTTATCCAAAGGATGAAGATGAAGACGATGAAGAAGATGAAGATGAAGATGAAGATGAAGATGAAGATGATCAAGAGGAACAGAAAAATGATGAAAAATCAAGAGATGCAGGCCAAGACGACGATGATGACGAAGACGACGAAGATGAAGACGACGACGACGATGATGATGATGATGATGATGATGATGATGACGATGAGGAGGAGGAAGAACAAGAAGTAGAAGGGAAAAGTCTTGGAAATTGAATATAACGAGAATAAAATAAGTCGAAAAGCATAGAGTTAACTTAAAATCAAGTTAGTGTAGTAAAGTAAATACAGAAAGAGATCATCATAATATGTTTGTATTTTAGCACCGATAGTTATGATAGAATGTGTTTTATGGTATAATATTTAAAAGGAATTAATTAACTAATACGATTTTGTTTTATATTAATTTATATAAATAATAATATTATAAATAATAAATATTATAAATTGTTTAAACCCACCAATCCAATTCCTTGTTAGGAATCTATACCACCTAGATATTGATAACTACCAGACTGTCATTATTCATTGCATTGAGATGGTGATCGTCAATTACCCTACTTTAAGTGTTGTTTTTAACATCAGTAATGGTATTAGTAACGCTATATAATGCGCCTGCCGTTTCCGGCAATATTTTACCGAAGAAGAAACAGTTGAAGAATTTAATTAAATAGTAAGATGAGCTGACTAATTATTGATTTAAATAGCCATCCTATGGTTATAACTGATGATAAAAGTGCTGTTTCAAGAAGGATTAACAACTCTCAGGTTTGATATTTGGTATCTAGGAACAATAGTTGAGTCGATATAGCCTTGGACTAGAGATATTAACAGTTAGATCAAGAAAACGTTAAGAAGAGCTTCGAAATATTTTTATTTGATAACTGAATTTAATAACTTTAATTACTTTAGAAATTAAACAATAATATATATATCATGACTTTGGGAGATAGATTAGGTTTGATTTTGATTCATCCTGCCGTTACTACAGTTCCTGGCTTATTGGAAGCTAAAAAATTAGAACTCTCTAAGAAAAACTATGTAATTGGTGATCAATTTTTGATTAATAAGCTTAACGATAATAGCGTTACTTTGGAGAAGGATAAGTACGACTTGATTTATTATTTGACTCCAGAAAAGGTGGAAGATATTAAATTTCCAGTCAAATTAATTCCAGTGATACAATCTGCTTTAAAAACTAATGGTTCTTTCTACGGACTAACTGAAGCATTTAAAGTAGATGCGTTAGTTAATGGCTTTGAAATAGTCTCTGTAGAGGACAACGATTACCATTGGATTAAAAAAGCTGGAAGTGCAAATGCCAATGTAGTTCAATTGAAGACCAAGAAAAAATTAGGCAATGAAGTTAAAAGTGGTAAATTACCAACATTTAAGTCTAAATTGCCAACATTTAAGAAAAAAGATGCTGGAAATAACGAGCAAGTTGTCAAATTAAGTGTTGAAGATGTTGAAGATGACCTTGACGATGACCCTGAGGTATCAAATGAATTATTATCCAAGGCCAAATTCTTTAATTCTTTGAGTTTGAATCAAGATGCTGAAATTGATGAAAATAATTTAATTAAAAGTACTGATGGAGACGGCATTACAATGATAACTTGTGGTAAGACAAATACCAAGAAAAGAAGAGCTTGTAAAGATTGTACTTGTGGTATGAAAGAACTCGAGGAAGAAGAAATTGATAATATTAGAACCCAGCAAGATAAAGTTGTCCAATTCACGAGTGAGGAATTGACAGAAATTGATTTTACAATTGAAGGGAAACTAGTTGGCGGTTGTGGTTCCTGCTCTTTAGGTGATGCATTTAGATGTTCTGGATGCCCATATTTAGGTTTGCCTGCATTTAAACCAGGTCAACCTATTAGTCTATCCAGTATTTCTGATGACTTGTAATTTTACATTGGAGAAAATAAATGAGAGGGGGGAGCATGTTAAAAATAACTGAAAGTAAAAAAAATTTTAAAAAAGATAGAGAATAATATGTTATTTTAACCCGAGTTTACAATTTGCATGTGTTGTTCATAATCTATATCCATTAGTCTATTTGTATAATTAATAAAATCACATCATAATAGCACAGAATGTTGCTTGAAATTTTTAATCTTTCTATATCTTTTTTTTTTCCTTTTTAGTAGGAGTTTAGTTAAAATATTCGGAATTTCAAGTACAATCTCTATTTTAAGAATATAAGGGGAATTTTAAACTCTAATTGAGAGGCTTACAAAAGGGAAAAAAAACATCATAGTTTGTATTTGATGAAAACAGTATAGAGAAGTGGTTCGTATCATGACTTTACTCTAAGTGAGTAATTAAATAAATATTAAAGTACAATGCAATTCAAGTCCTTACATATCTCTTGTAAAAATTTTCATAGGTTAACGTCAACTTCAAGAAACATATTTTAACAGGTGTACATATATATGCAGTATTCCAATGTTACACAAATATAAGCATTAATGTATAATTTTTAACTTATCCAACAAAATGTATAAATTAATGGTTATTCCATCCATTCAATCTTATGTAAATATCATAGCTACACGAATTTTGCAACCTATCAATTAGTTAAAAGCCTGACGTATTTTTGAGTGAAAATATATTTGCTCGTTAAATTTTCAAATCTTTCTTGATTCACATGATTCATTATCGTATGATACAGCAACTTAAGTAAAGAAGAAAAGAAATAAAGTAGGAAGTGAATTGAAGTGAACTGAATTTAAAATAAAGTAAAAATAAAAATAAAAGCAAAAGCAAAAGTACAAGTAAAATTGTAAATGGGAGATGGCAAAGAGTAAACGTAAGTTTATGGTAAAAGGATATATATGAAGGATTATATAAAAAGTATTAACAGTGAGGAAGAATATTCTGGAATACCATATAACACACATGTCCTAATCAGGAAATGTACCTGAAACTAAACTCACGTTTCTTTTGTTAACCTCTAAAGTTGCTTTTTTTTCATCATGACGATGATCTCCCCGCAGTGGTCAAAAGCGATCGGGACTAACATCAAGGTTTTACCAAGAAACCGACGCAGTTTCAAGATAAAAACAAGAAACGAACAACAACAGGAAGACGAATGTACGCTGCTTGTTTCAGCGCTAAGAGCTCGACGCGGAAACAACCCCAAAAAGAAACAAATCGGAAAAACTTTTCATTTTTGCATTTCGAAACATTTCCATTTCGAAAGAGAAAAAGAAACTTAAGCTATATGGTCGATATTTTCACAACTAAATTTATTTTTTTTTTGGTTTCTCTTGCTCTCTTGCTCTCTCTTGTACTCTTTGGACCAGGCAAGTTCGGTAGGTCATGGGAAATCCACCAAGCAACTGTCCAATTATCCAACCAACTAACCAAACAATGATCGGTAGGTAAGACACTTGGCTGTACAAACTATAAACAATTCTATGAAAACCAATGGAACCAATGGTATGAAAAGTTCAGGTTAGTTCAGTTTAGTTTCACTTGCCCCCCCCCTCCCTCCCTGTCTCGTCATTGAAGGATTTTTTTTTCTTTGTCCAGCACGTCGATAAAAGTAGTTTTGTAATCGTCTAAATCCAGATAGGCCTAGAAGAAAGGACAAGACAAAATACTGAAAAAAGAACTGAAAGGAATTATTTCTTTTTTATGAATCTGCATGTACCAGGTTATTGGGAAAACTTTACAACCGACAGAAGTACATGTTTGTTGCCATCTTCCTCGATATAACTTTTGTTTAAAAAAAAAAAAAGGTCTTACCAGTTCCAGTATTCCAAAATAGCAGAAGTAAAGGTTAGAAGTGGAAACACTAACTAATGGCAAATTAAAATAATGAGTAGGTGAGTAAGTAAGAGAAATAGAAAGAAAGAGAAGAAAGCACCATTTCTAGTCGACCAGACTTTTTCCTTTTTATTTTCCTTTTTATGTTCTTATTTTATTGCTGAAAAGCCATTGTAATATACAGTAGTTTGATTTATGTAAGTTTTCTTTCTCCTTTTAGAGGTGACTGACTTATTGATTAAAGACTGTTTTAGTTCGTCGGTTCCAGCGAGTTGATATGAAAATAGGTGTGATATGATATGGACGTAAGTTAGTTTCTGCTCAGACGGTTGCAGTTATAGTTGGCTCTTGAAGTAAATTATCAGATTAATATTGAATTGAACCAAAGTTGAAAGTAGAATAAAATAAAAGTAAAAAAAAAATAACTAAAAAGAAAATTCTAGGTCCTTTTAGTATGGTTGTTATCTATTGACAATTTTAAAGTTTGTTGTCTATTTTGATATTCGGTATTGTTGTTGTTATTATTAAGATGTTTTTTGTTATCGTTTTTGCAGTGTAAGTTTAGTCGGATTTATTTCACTTGCACTTGATGTTCAAAATATTTTATATCCATATTTGAGTTTTTTCCTACGTCTTTATTATTCGATCAACTAATGGACCCACCAGAGTCCACTGGACTGGCATAGATTGTAGATACATTTTTAAAGTTTTGATATATTGAGGTAACGGAGAGCTTGGGTAAGTAAATGTCTGTGTAGCTTAGGTTAGTAGTATTGAATTTGGAATTTGATAAATTTGTCATCCTTCTTGATATCATGGCTTGGTTGTTATTTATATAAAAAGGGTTATGTGGCAAGGTGGCAAAAAAAAAATGAAAGTTAAATATAGTTGCAATTCTTATAGATTGTTTGTAAAAGTGTATTAAAGTATTGAATAAAGTACTGTTTATCAACCAGTTCTGTATACTTAAAATCGTTATTACACTGTCTTTTAAGGAACTTTGGAAAAAATAAAAAATCGAATATTTTAATTTGCAAAAAATTTTGGCTCAACTTGAGTTTAAGGGTATAAGATAGCAGTTAGTTATTTTTGATACTCGAAGTAAGAAGAATCAATCTATCAGGAATACAATCTAATCTAGAAGGGATATATTGCAATAATACATCTAATTAATACACTTATAGTAGTTATAATCTATCTAGTTGGTTTCGAATTAGAACAAATCACAGACAACATACACACACATTCTAAAATATTTTCATAAAAAATGTCAGATATGAATGTTAACCATTTGAGTCTCACTTCTTCAGAGAAGGATGCTATGAAACCAATCAAGCCAAGAGCAGAAGATGTTACAAGTCTCACGAGGACGTCGAGTAATACTAGTTTAAATATCAGGAAACATTTGGATCTCGATTCAACAACTACATCTATATTAGATGAACTTTGTGATAATATGAAAGAAGTTAAAGGTATAACTAGCTCGAGTATAACGTCGAATAGTCCTATAGGGAAGATAGCTAAAAAGGATAAAAAGAAGAAGAAGAAACAATGTCATTTCGGTGACTGTACTGGTCTATCCATAAAATATGCTGGAGATTGTAATTTCTGTAATGGGAAGTTCTGTTCAAAGCATAGAATGCTAGAAAACCATCTCTGTAAAGGATTACAGTCATGTAAAGAACAAATGCATAAGAGGAACGCTGACAAACTAGCAAGCGAACAAACTGTCAACCCAAAGGTAACGTTCTAAAAGATATTACCAAATTAATGAAATACAATGAAAGAAAGGTTTCCTTTGGTCAAATTTTGGTATTATGGGTATATATATATAGCTTAAATGGGACGTATAGGTAGGTATAATGGTAATTTAAGAAAACTGGTTTAATGTCTCATTATTCATCATCAATAGAACAGCAAGTGTTTTATTCCAAATATATTTTTCACCAATTTGTACAGGATGCTTGTAAATAAAGTTAATTTAGTGTTATAATAATATTTATTATAATAATGCATAGTTCAATTATATTATTTAAATAAAAGATTTCAAAAGATTTCATGCTATAATCTTTTGATATAAAAGCTTAAAAATACAAACATAAATATATATATATAAATAAGATAATTTCATTACCTTCTTATAATGATGACAATGATTAAATTTATGCAGATGGGAAAATATATTAAACTCCCGCGTGTACGTCATTTATCACTCTTGGCGTTTGAAAATTCGATAACTGTTCTTTAAAAGCCGCTTTCATTCTTTCATTACCAATAAATAATTTTACAACTGTCTTGCTAACATAATCAATTGATTGAGAAATGGTTTGCTTCAATCTATAATCAGTTGGACTAAAATTGAAGAACAAATATGACGAAATTAATAATATCGCAACTGGTAACCAGAAAAACCACAACATAGTATCATTTTTGAAACTTTGTCTTTGTTGGAAAAATCTATTAAATCTGATCTGTAATGCTTCATCTTCATCTTCAGATGAAGTTTGTGAATCTTCGGTAGGTGATGGATCTTTATCTAGATGACTATTATCTATGATTCCTTCAATCAATTGTTCTTCGACTTGTTTTGGTTTTGAAACTTGTGGGAAACTTGGGAATAAATCTTCGTATTTTGGTAGGTCATCATTGATTCTATTTAACATTCTATTCCAAATTGAAGTATTTAAACTTTTGCTATTGTCTGATGTATCTTCATCATCCAATGAAGTAGTGTTTTCCTTGTTAACTTGACTATCATTTAGTGTTTTACTTTCAGTCGATTTCTTTGTGTTTTTATTACCGCTTGATTTAATTTCGATATCCAAGATAATATTCTTTTTATCATTAATAATATTAATTGGATTGTTTTGTTTCAAATCATTGTCCATATCTTCATTATCATTAGTATCATTATCATCATCACTTTCGTTATCAGAAGTGTTTAATTTCGAGTTATTTGATGTTATAGAAGGCAAGTCACTTGTTAATAAGCTTTCGTCACCATCCTCTTCAAAATCACTTCTTTCATAACCAGAATCATCTGAATATATTAGGCTACTACTATGTTCTGCAACATGGTGGCGATGTTGTTGTTGTTGTTGGTTGTGGTGATGATGATGATTATTAATGTGATTTGACTCATAGTTGTAATCTATGGAATTTATTGAATCGATATCCAAATCGCTTGAATTAGAAGGCTTTCTGTTGTTGACGTAGTCATTCGTCTCTAATTCAAATATTTGGTGAACTTTTGAAAAATTATTTGAATTTGAAGAATGATTTAAATTGAATAGATCAATTGCAACTAAGTTGTTGTTAGATTTTATATTGTAATCTGACTTACATCTTAATAAAAGTTGGATAATCTTTGGATCACCATTAATGCATGCAAAATGTAAAGGAGTAAAACCAAAAGAATCTTTATCATTTACTCTTGCACCGTTTTTCAATAAAGTTGAAACTAAAGATATGTAACCTTTTAAAGAAGCCAAGTGCAATAAGGTTCTGCCTGAATTATCACACATTGATAAATTTGAATTTGATTTTAATAATTTTATGACTTTGACGATCAAAGCTTCATCATTGTTGAAGGTATTCATTGGAGATATATTACTATTACCACTACCATTTGAAGACGCTACAGATGGGACGGAATTATTTCCTGGAGACATATCATCATTACCTACAATTCTTTTTGCAATATTACGAGCATCTTCTAATTTACCATTCATTTTCAAGCCGACAATTTGTAAAGCTAGTTCGATTAATTGTCTGTCAGTATCATCAACATAAGTAAATATAGCTTTTTTACTTGGATGTATGTTATTCGATAGGTGATTGATTTGGGTAGAAGGACTTGAATTGTCTTCTACTGTGATTAATACTTGACCTGATGAAATCGAAGGTGGTAAAAAAGTCACCATAGTTGATTCACTCCAACATTGAGTTGATAATGCAATATTATCACCGAATTTTACAATCAAACCATTTTTGAAGTTTGCACCTAATAAGGTTATCTCTATTCCGCCACTAATTGGACCTTGCGAAGGGATAGCCTTTTGTACAAAAGGTTGGTTTGGGTTATTATTTGAACTATTCAACTTCAAATCGTTTTGATTTACGGTTGATGCAGGTAAATCTACGTTTAATAGTTTTCTTTTCTTGGTTTCTGAGCGCAAACTTGAGTTTTGATTTGTTTGACTGTTACTATGGTTCTTATATCTGAATTCCAAACCATCTTCGCTCATTGAGGTTGGAGAAGGTATGAATGGTAAATTATTTTGATTTGATTGTAAGAAGTTATTGAACATTGGGATGCTGTTATTGTTACTGTTTGTGTTGGTGTTGCCGTTAGTGTTGTTGTTATTTGAATTGTATAATGCAGAAATTTGAAGAGTTTTAAAGTGATTGGGGTATTATTTGGTATATCACTCAATGATGGATAGTTTTTTGATTCGAAAAAAAGGGTTTGAATTTGTAAGGGGAAAGTGGGGTAAAAACCATTTTCCTTTGCCCCTAGGGTTGTTTGGTTAAATGGGGGAAAGATTATTGCTACAACGGGTTTGGGCCGGGTGGTTGGGGATTCCTGTTTGGGAATTTTTTTGGATGCGGGGAATATACGGAGTGGGAAGTGTGAGGTAAAGAATGGGTGAAAATTGAGAAATATTGGAGGAAAGGGATTTTTCTCTCCCGCGAATTGTGT